TGGAAGGTTTCGGATTCGACCTCTAAGGCTGCCCATCAAGTTCCCGACTTACTTTTGTTGGCCAAGAACTACATTTTAAATTAGTCGTGCTTAATACCATTGGCTGTCCTTTTCGAAATGGCTTAGTGGCAAGTGCCGTGCGATTTCAAATCAATTTCTGCCGCAAAGTGCACTCTTGAATGAGAGCTCCTAAGCCGATTACCGCCAATAGCGACCAACTGTGGCACATAACTAAGCTGTTTGAACAGGCACTGTGTTGCCTGTTACCTGTTCTGGGAAGGTGCACACAGTAAACTAATTGTTTCTAAATAATGCAGTTTTTCCGGGAAACAACTTGAAAGGAAAGGGGAAAGTAAGAGGATTGTCAACAGAGGTTGTTAAGGGCGTTATTCCGTTTGAGCAAACCTTTGGTTATTGTGAGAGAAAGGGAATAAAAATATAGGGACTTATAATATTTCGAAATAAAATGAATAACAGCCAATACATGCAATAAAAAGAAAATATGAAGGTGTCTAAAAGTATGCCATAATATATGTTCATCCTTTCACTGCATACTTTTAGGCCCAATTACAAAAGATTTCAAAACTATAATGTCTGTGGCGTTTCCCACTCTTTATTTTTGTTGGCATTTGTTGTTCCTTAAATATATTTAATGACATTTTTACCCATTTCAACGTATTAGTTCACCTGTTTGCACTCGCATTTTTTGCGCATTTCAGAGAGCACACCCAAAAGGATAGGCGAGGACATGTGCAACTATTAAAAATTATTTTCTTTTGCGCATTCCTGGGGGCGTACGGCAAAGTATTTTATGATTCGAATTTCGAAACGTGCAAATGGCCAGCCTGCAGGACGAGTCGGAGTCGGAGTCCCTTTGAAAGCCATTCCTTTGGACATATAGAAGAGGCGTATGTGCGGCTGATATTCCGTACGTGCACCCACAACATGAACCCATAAATATGTATTGATTTTCCATTCTCCTTATCGCCGGTCGGTTGGAAAAGTAAGGAAAGTCCTCGAGTCGAAGGAGCTTCGACAACGGCAATGGCAACAATGGCACAAGCTCCAAGACAGAGTTATGATTATGAAAGTTTTTTAATGCTCCGAAGCAGGAATGCCCCCTTCTCACAGCTCACAAAATGGAAAATAAATGCGAGAAATTTGCCGCAATTTGCGACGCCGTGGAGAGTCACTGAACCGCAAAGCTGCAGAAATGTTGTTTATCAAATATTTATCGCATTCACATACCGCATTTTGCTGGCAAATTGCAGCCAGACATGCAAATGGCGAAGGAATGCAGCCGGCTTACGGACAAAGAAGAACTCCAGTTTCGCCATTTTCGCCAGTTTCCCATCAGAAATGAGAAATGGCCTGTAATCCGAGTGAGACATGTCTACATCACGAGTTCATTAATTCCCCCGGAATATACTGTTCGCAGTCGTACTCCCCGAACTTGGTAGAACCCATATGTTTCTGCTCCATTTGGCCTGACTAATGGTCTAAATTCGCCCGATTCTGCTGCCGGTGGCATGTGGGCTCCATTCTGCGTACTGCGTGTCGAAAATTGTGCAAAACGCTCATAACAAATTTGTTAGATGTGCGGAAATTTGTCAAGAGCACTTGCCACAACAAACAAACATGCGACTTACCGCATGTGTGGCATTGCGTCCTCACGAATTTGTATCAAATTTAATGGGCATAACAGGCGAGTATCAGATGAACTTTGGATCAAAAGTTTTGACTTAAAACAAAGTTATGAAATGTAGAAAATCAATAATAGTTTTCAATTGAAAGAAAAAAGATGAAGTATATTTTTTAAAATGTATTTGACTTAATAATACTCTTTAATGTAATATGCATATTATACAAAATTGAATTCGTTAGTATAGTGTATTAATTTATTTGGTTTAAATTATTTATTATCTTTGATTTTCAAATATTTTGTACTGTAATACTGTCAACATTTTTGTTTCTGTGCAGCCTCAACCAAAACATAAAACAATGAATACTCGGGCTTATACACTAATTGAATAATATGTATACAATCTTCACGGTTGAGTTATTTGCGGAAAAATTATGGCCAGCACAATAACGAAATGTGATTTCAGCTGCAGCGCCGGGCAGCCAGAAACTATGGCCAAAGGCACTTGACCAGGCAATTAAAACTGCCAAAAACTAATGCCACCGCAAAACTACGGTTGCCAGTTTTATGGCTGCCAACTGGCCGCGAAACCCACTCGAAATGCTCGACAATGTGCCAGCGAAATCGAGTGACTGTAATTTCGCAAAAAGTGAGATGCGAAATCCCCCGGACCAATTAAAAACCATCGTGCGATCCCATCGAATCGAAATTAATTATCAAACAAATGGACAGCAGCTGCAGCGGCTTAAGCCGGCTTATAAACTTTAAGGCCGCTAAGCCTTTCCGGCCTAATTGTAAGGGACACTTGACAGGCAAAAAGGACATCAAAGAAGGTATTTTTTAATATTTTAATTGGCAAAAAGGCAAATTAAAACTGTCGCCCACGGCGAGGGAAAAATAATTTAATAATGCACAAGTGCGGTGGGAGATGGAAATTGAAAGGGTTAATGAGCAATTGAAACTGTACGAAAATCAGGGTTACCTGGTTATCAGAAAATCCCATGGAAGTTTCTGTAAACTTGTTGCTTTAAAGATTATAGATATAGGGTTAAATAGAAGCCGCCAATATCTAATCTTTAAAAGTCTTATCTGATTTTATGTTACTGGTCCCAGATTCCCAACTCATTTTGGCTTCAAGTGCCTACCAATAAAGTCGCGATTCTGTGGTATTTTTGTTCGGAAGCAGAAACATTCATAAATCATCCGCGAAAGTGAAACTTGCGAACATTTCTTGGTACTTGCGTCCCTTTTGCCATTTCATCTCGGAATAATTAAAGCGAACAGAACTGAATTTGTGCACGTGCTGCGTTTAAGAAATTGCTTTTCCCTCCATTCTCTGGGGCGCTCTTGACTTACCCGACTTTTCTGGCCTTTTATGTTTTGGCTGCTGTTTCCTTTCAGCCAGCCCCCATATATTCATTCTTTTTTAATTTTCGCCCGAGTTTGCACAAGTTGTTGCCGTTCTGTGTGTTTTTTGTGTCAACAGCACAAAGCCGCACACATCGTGAACAGTTGGCCCATTCCCATTCCCATTTCCATTCCGGTTTTTATGTTGCGCAACGCAATCCAAGACAATAGTTGCACGAACTTAGCATGTATGTTGCACTGCAGGACGAAACTCCTTTGGGCATTCATATCTGCCAGTCGGTCGGTTTGGGGTTGGGGCTTAATATGCCCCGCCGGTCCTTTGTTTTCCCGACAGTTTTCCCGAAACAATGAAACGCAAAGCGGAAAAGTTTACAATTAGCTTGTCAACAATGGGCGGCGTACCCGGCGTATGCGTGATGGCGGAAATCTGCAGTGAACCCCTATTTTCCTATGTTTTTCGGAATATATTCATAATTGCAGCCAGTCTGCCTGTGGCTATTTTATTGGAACGAAAAAAAGAAGATCATAAAGTATTAAACTATTTATAGTACAGACTTTTGTGTTCCACAATTTAGAGAAAGCTTGTTACGAAGTTTTTTGGAAAAATCCCCGCCCTGACTTTTTATTAAAATTGATAGTTTATTCACCAATAAAATGCAAAAAACACTCCTAGTATGACATGTTATACACCCTTAAGCTCGTAATAAAATTTGCAATAAGTTGGCATTAAAGTTAAAAAAAATTTTATTTTTACCATTTTTGGAAAAAAAAATTTTTTTTGCAAAAATGGGTAAAAATAAAAATTTTTAGGTTGGAACGCCAATTAATTTAGAATTTCAATACGAGTTCAACAAGGTATGACACTTCATATTTGGACCATGTTTTCGTCGTTTATTGGGCAAAATAAGTGAAAAACTGGGACTTCTTGGTGGAATACCAATACGAGGACTTTGGCTGTAAACCATGGAATAAATAAGTTTATCTGCGAAAATAAATCAACTTTAAGATGGGTTTTTAAAAATCTCTAGAGTAAGCCTTTTTTCAAATATTTCAACTATGCCAAGCGGTTAATGAAAACCGCACACAGCTTAGTGAATCCGCCTCGCCAAAACCCAAATTGAAACCCCAAAAATAATTGCCAAATTATTTTGGTAAACGTTCTCCGTGCCAAGCTTAAAATCTTTATGCATATTTTATGCCGTGAGCAGCCCCAAATGAAGGGGAAAATAGTGATGTAGTAAAAAGCGCGAAATAAGCGGGCAAAAGAGGTTAAGGGGCCAAGGGGTTAAAAGGCACTGGCAACATGTTGCCGGAAGTGTTGGCCTGCAATTTGAACAGGCAAACTTGTTCGCTTTTCTCGGCGGAAAAGACTTTTCTTAAAATTCGCGTGTGTGCGTGTTCTTGTGCCTGTCGGGGGAAAAGTTTTCCAGCATAAAAGGGTTAAGTGCAGAGCCCTGTATTAAGAATTGAGAAAGTTATGCTGGCTTTGGAAAGTTCACACAACAAATATGATGCTATAGCCCTCGCGATCTATTTACAAATTAGTTTTCCACTGATTGTATAAGCCTACGAACTCATGCATTGTAGATTTTATCAAACCCCTAACTGGGGGTAGCAAAAAATTCCCCACTAGATTTAATAAATAATTACATACGTACCCGCACATCATTTAAAATGTATTTAAGCAATTGAACCGAGCTATTCAAATTCAGTTCGTGATCGAAACTCAAATGACATGGACTCGGAGTTCTAGTCCCGCGTTGCCTGAGTAAACAAGAAAATCAGCGGAGCGAAAAGTCCGATTCCAGTGTAATTAATTATTAGTTGAACTGCAAATAAACGAAACTTGTGCCAAATATTTTGTCAAGCTTAAAAATCACATTATAACAAAGTTATCAAAAAAATAAAATAAAATAATACGAAGAATATAAAATATATAACAGATTTAAAATGAAGAATTTTTAAAAATATTAATGAGTAGAAACTAGTTAAGCAAATAAAAAAAAGTATTTTAATTAGGCTTTACCAATTACAATTAAAATGGTGGAAAAGGCTACTTTAGCCCAACTAAAAAGTTTAGAATGGGGGCGTCTGTTCAACATGTTCTATATAGAACCGGTGATTTTCATGCTGCTGTTTTCGCACATGCTGTCAGGTGAGCGGAACCTGAGATTATAATGATGACATATGAAATAGTTCCAGCACGATCTTCCCATTAGGTACTGTTATGCGCAATCAGTTGATTTTTCAGACCTGCACGGTGATCTATCAGTACAATGAATCTGACTGTATGCTTTTGGATAGCAAAAACACCACAGCAGAAATACAGGTCTGTTAATACTGCATTTTTTAATAGTTATTAAACTTAGTTAGGAACTATAGGCCATTGAAACGGAGCTTCAGGCATATGTTGCCAATATGTTCTTAACCCGAACCCTCTTTGAAAGCATTGTCCCCGCCATTTGTGGTTTATTTATTGGATCCTGGTCGGATCACTATGGACGCAAGCCCCTGCTGATTGTCTCCATGGTTGGTGAGTTTTTAAATGATTTCGTTTGCTGAAGAGGTAGTAAGACGTTTTCCTCTTAGGCTTTTCCGCCTCTGCCCTGCTTTCGTCTGCCATTTGCTGGCTGTCCAGCTACTACCTGGTTAATCCCTGGTGGTACACCTTGGCAGCTGTGCCACACTCCCTGCTCGGTGGCTTGTGTGTCTTTTCGGTGGCTGCCTTTTGCTTTATTACGGACACAACCGACATGAAAACCAGACCCTACAGGTGAGTGTCACCTATTGTTAGCTAAGCCCGGGGACAAAGGAATGTGACAAGCTTTAAGACTTTATTCTCGGCCATTTGTGGTCTTAAACTCCTAAAGAATAGAAATTGAAAGGGATTTTACAAAATGTTTACAAAAATATTTCATAATTAGTTTCTTTTTAAAAAATAATTCATAATTAGTTTCTTTTTATACAATATACCATATTACACGTTAGTTAATAACAGAAAAACTTTATTAAAACTTAAATTGAATAATTTTTTATTTCCAGAATGATCTTCATGGAGTTGATACTTTTCGTGGCCTTGACAAGTGGCTCATTGTTATCCAGTTTTATTTATGCAGCCACAAGTGCTGCCTTTGTACAGAGTATATCGTGTCTAATCATAATTTTGGCAACACTCTTTATTATTTTCTACCTGCCCGAAAGTTTGGGAATGTGCCCAGATAAGGACGAAGTTCCCGAGAAGGAAAAGGAAGTTGTTGTGACAGTTTCAGATCAGAAAGTAAGTGAATTGTCAACTGAAACATTGGAGAAACGCGACGATCCACCCAAGTATGAGACCATAGAAAAGCCTCCTTTGGGAGACAAAGAGGAAAATACTGGCTTGTTCAGTATTAAGCACGTTAAAGATATGTTCAGCACCTGCTTTAAGAGGAGGGAAAATAATGCCCACTCCATCATCTGGTTGGTTACTTTGGCCGGCTTTGTCTCGATTTTCGTTGCCGGTGAGTGTGCTTAAGTTTGCCTGGGAGCACCAGTGATTGAGGTGATGATATCCTTGCAGATGGCGTCATGACTGTGATGTATTTATTCGTGCGTCAGCAGTTCCATTTCACAGTACGTGAGTTTACTATTTTTGAGACAGTCAGCCAATCAGTGCCCATGCTGGGAGCTCTTTTGGGCATTCTTATTTTAAGAAAGGTAATTTACTAAAAATAAAATGTATCAATATGATAAATTTGATTTTCGTATATTTGTAGCTTTTTGGAATGTCTGTGGTTTCATTGGCCTTGCTGTCGTTATTCTCTGAGATCCTTAGCAACATTGCCAGAGGATTCGCTTTTCTACCTTGGCACTTGTACATATCTGTGGTACTGGGAGTCTTTCGCTCCATCCAGGGACCCATGTGTCGCACGATTGTATCGAATATAGTACCCTCTTCCGATACGGGTAGGTAATAATTGGAAAAAACAACCTCCACTTCAGTTCTTCTCTACTCATCACAGGTAAACTGTTTGCAATTGGCAACATAGTACAATCATTCGCCCCTTTTGGTAAGCTGTAATACCCTTGGTTCTTCCCCATCCATCATCTTCAATATTATTTCCAGTCGCCGCTCCCCTTTACACGGCCATCTACAAGAGCTCCCTGGCCAGCAATCCTGGCGGATTTAATTTCCTCAGCGCCGCCTTCTACTTAATAGCGTTTATCCTCATTGGGTGAGTATAGCTGCCATCTAACTATCGTCACGCCAAGTGATTTTGAATAAATTTATTGCAGCTGGGTGATGCGAATTAAATTCAAGCACCGAAAGTTCTACGCCGAGACGCTCAAGTAGCTAAAGTAAACTGAGTTTCCATCAATATTGATTGTGGCCAGTTTGCCAACTTTTTAGAGCTTTGTTTATGCCCAAGTCGAAAACTTTGTGTGGACAGCATTAAATAACTGGATTTATATAGCACGAAGGAGTTTTCTCTGTGTTTCTGGCTAATTTAATTTGCATACCGCACGGGGAATTATCAACCATTTCAATTACATTGTGCTGAAGGATTAACTAATCGAATTCCAGAATGCCATGTCACCCGATGGCCAACAGTTTATCGAACTATTTTATTACATCAACTGGACATAAGTGACTACTTTGGCATGCATTTTCAACGAAATTGGATCTAATTGCCGTCCATGTGTAATGCTTTGTTGTGGTTATTATTATTTCTGGTCCAGGGTTGTCCTTTGTATTTGTTTTTGTTTTGGCGCTGCAGGGAGATGGGGCCATGCCTTATGCATGAGCTTTTAATAGTGCATAATTTATGGGGCAAAAGTTTGCGCAACATATTTGCAAAGTTCAAACATATTCGGAGAATCGGACGTACATCGTTTGGATTCATTTGGATTCGTTGTGACTTTGGCACGTACAGCATGAATTCGTAATGTCGCCAATGCCAAAAGTTCACGGGACCCACAATTTGCAGTAATTTGAATTGTTAGGCGTAAGCCCTCGATGATTAAATATTAAATTGCGACTCTATTATGCGCACAAAGGTATGTCGATGTTCGGGGTCGACTTCCTGCTCCACGTGGCCACATTCACATTGAAGCCCCGGCAATCAGTGTCGGGTTAACCTAACCCCGCAGGCGGAGCAGCAATCGGCGAACCGAAACCGAATCCGAATCCGAGCCATCAAATCACAGTCTTGTCTGCGGAAAAGCATTTGTCGTGCGGCATTAAAGTCGAGGGTGCTTGAAAAACGCTTTAATGCCGCCGCGCGTGCAGCAAATAAACGAATTCGCAGGACATGAACTCTGCACTTGCACTTGGAGCGGAATGGAACCCCAGCCCTCGAACACGCCAACTTGATGGGATGTCTTTGTCTTACCAAACGCGTTAACCGTAAAGGGGAAAACTTTGATGCGGATGCATGTGCCGCCAGCTGTTAAGCGCTCGGCATTTCCGCTCTTTTTCACGTCACCAGCACTGATGAAAAATGTCATAAAAATAAGTGCTGAAAAAGGGAAATTTTTTTTATAAAAACTACAGACCCCAGTTTTACCAGAAAACCCGTTTAACGTAAAAAAAAAATTTTAAAAAATTGTATATTCATTTGAAGTGCAGAGATACACAGAGAGAATTATTTAAGTAATTTGCACTCAAATTGAGTATTTTTGTACTCAAAAATTCAGCATGAACAAAAATTCTCACATTGAGTACAAAATACTCACTTTCAGTACAAATTTCTCAAAAAATTTGTACTTAAATTGAGTACGTTTGTGCTCTTTTTTGAACATTTTTCCTCAATATGAGTACAAACTGCACTCATTTTAAGAAATAATTTAGCTTGAATTTTAGAATCGAGTATCCCCTTTTCTCAAACTGAGAAATTTCTAGCGCTCAAAATGAGAAACAAGTTCTTGATAGTGAACTTATAAATTCTTAAATGAAGAACTTTTGCACTTAAACCCGCTCCACCCATTCCCAGAAAAAAGGTAAAATATTTTTTTTCATTATATTTTGTAATACAGTTATATATATACAAACATATTATTTTTTATTTAAGTTTATGTTCCATGTTATGATATTATTCCCTTAGCTGTCTGGTCTAGCGAAAAGCAAAGAGGCTGAAAAGAAAACGTTATTGTTAGCAAATATTGTAAATATATATGCATATAAAAATATGAAACAATAAAATTAGAATGTTATTAAATGTACATTTAAAATGCATACATAAAAAACTAACAAAACTAGACACGTGCTTCACGCCACTTACAATCACGCATACATACATATTGATGTACACGCTTTGGCAATATTTTTGCAGTGTTTGTTTAATGTATCATTATTAAGCACATTATAAATACAGTTACAATTAAAAAACTTACCCTCGAGGTACGGAAGGGTGGCACGAATGTCCAGTTCACTACAAAAGTTTTTTAACTTTGTGTTACGCGCACGTCTTCACTTTGCTAAATCACACGGCAAATGACAGTCACACAAATGCGGCGCGTACCACTTTACACACCCATTAGTGAGAAAGAGACAACCATATACGCAACGAACTAAGGGCCGCTCATCTCTCGTCTCGTTCGAAGAACGGAATTCTCCAGAACCCATTATGAGAATTCGCAACTCATTTTTGAGTATATCGGTTACTCATATTCAGAATATTAATTCTCAAGATGGAAAATGAAGAACACATTTCCTCAAACTTAGAATTTTGTGATCAATTCAAGTTATTTTTCTTAAAATGAGTGCAACTTTTCTCAACATGAGCTTTTTCCACAAATTTTGTACTTCAATTGAGTACATCCTCAAAATGAGAATACAAATTCTCAATTTCAGAACGTCATAATTTTCTCTGTGTAGATCATCTCTCATAATTGTTATAAATTATTTAAAAATTATAAAGCAAAAGCTGAAAAACTATTGATTGATTCTTTTAATGCCAGTGTAATATAAATATTAATTATTTTCAAATTTAAATAAAAATAATTTTTACTTCTCCCAGTGCACAAAAGTAGTCCAAGATGCTGTCTAATTGGGCCGGTCAGATAAGACGCACATAAAACTTTAAACAGGACAACAAAGTAGCGACCACTTCCGGTGCTCCGATGATTGATGGCCATTTTAGTGGCTCGAAGTCGGTGGCCAAGCCAGCTGATTCCGTCCACACGGCGCATACGTAATCGTTTATTAAACAAAGCAAATTATGAGCTGCCAGCGGGCCAAACAACATGCAAGTGTTGACGAAGGTCAAGTTTGGGCTTTGGTTGATTTTTCCAACTACCAAGCGTCAAAAGAGCAAAAGAGCATTGGTTGTAACGTAAGTCCTTACGTTATTTCGTTATAAAGAGAGAACTCTCTCCATCAGATGGTTATTTTCGCTCTCGTTTTCCTTCGGCAGCTATAAAATCCGAGGAACCTACCGAAGTCGAGTTAGTTTGCTGAAGACTTCCACACGAAACGGTCGCCAGTTTTTCCGGAGTTTTCCGACCCAGCTTATCGTGTCGTCTCATTTTCCGTAGCCCGCTTATCAGCGCAAAAAAGGCTTCGCGTGGAAATGCCGTCGGTGGAAATGCAGCTGGCATAACTCGTTGCCTACTTCAGGGCTCTGCAACATATCAACTGGAATTTTCCGGACAGCTCATTTATCAGGATTAGGATCCCATCCCCGCACACCTGCAATCATGTTTTGGATTTTACGGCGCACCGGAGCCGCCAACTTTTTCAACTCCTTCAACAACAACTGCAGCTTTTCCAAGAGCAACTCGAACGGCGGCAATCACAGCAACAGCACCCAAGGTGAGTCCCCAACACCTGGGCCCCGGCAATCAATTAGTCCAGTTCACCCCGGCGAAAGTCCGCCCTCAATTAGGATAATTCATCAATAATTAGCGGACTAATCAGATTAAGTCTCAAACTTGTGCGTAAGTCGACCATAAATAGCTGAGGTCCTGATATGGCGTCGTGGTGTGCTTATTGGTGGGAAAATTTGACGAAGAGTATTAAAAGTATTAAATAGCCTTCCCAATAAAAATTTAATATTCAAAAATTGTCACAAAAATGTATTATTTGATGGCAATAATTATTTTTACTTTTAAAACTTACTTTGTGTTTGTGTTAAGGTATAATGTCGTACTTTAAATTTTCAGTATTATTTTTTAATAAGTTTAAAAGAAATTTTTACCCAAAATCTACTTCAGAAAGATCATTTATGAAAAGCTTAAATTTGTTTTGCATCAAGAAAAGAAAAGCAATCGCGTATCATTTAAAATTGATTGATTTTAAATCTGCTGTCCGCATCTTCCCTGTAATCAATTTAACTGCAATATGTCAGTCATGAAAATAGCATTTCACTGAAAACATCATTTATCATACTTAAATAAATATCCTCTGATAGAGCAGAATGTTTAATCGTTCTGAAAACCAAATGGTTTCCGGTGACAATCTTGACTAATCATAGTTGCAATTTACATTTTCCCAAAAAGACTTTCTCCCAGTCAATTGGCCGATCAATGTTTGGGGGTATTCAGATTTCCACGATTATAATGCCAGACATGTTCCAGTCTAGTCCTGGCATTTATTCATAAGCCGAACCCCCACTTGTTATCAAAACAAGTTAATTAAAATTCCCGGAATGACTTGTGGAATATAGGCTCCAAATATTCGCATACTGTACTTGCCTGCATACTCCCCATTGTTAGCCCATATCTGTGCCGTGTGGAAAAGCGGGAAAAGCCTGAGGAAAATTGGGGAAAAACCAAGTAAAGTAAATAACACCGAGGCCCTACAACCCACGTAATAATGAGGCTTCGCACGTGTGTGTGGAGCAGAAAACGTGGTGCGGATGTGACTGTCGAAAGAAAACACTTTGGGCCTTCGGTCCCAAGATGCTTTTGTCTAAGCGCTAAGTCTTGCACCATCCTAGAAAAGCTGGGGGAAAAACAAAGGAGGGTTCCGGCGAGGATTTCCCCCAGGCTGGCAATTGAAAATTTTAGTTGTTTTTCCCACGCGAACCGGAGCACTTGCCATTTCAATTTTCCCATTCTTTTAAGCTGGATACTCAATAACCTTTCAGTAAATAGAACAACATACCTACTCCCCAAAAAATCACTTCTTTTCCATTTGAGCATCATTTAAATCTAATGTTGTGCACCTATAATTACCCACTTAAAAATATTATATGATTATATGTGCAAAAAAACAAGCCATGTTAATGATATGCAAACATTATCATAACCCCAGAAATATACACACATTTTTACCAGCATTTAAACTATATTGTTAATTAATTAGCAGAAATGCACGTTTTAAATTAAAAGCAAACACAGCCAAAATGCAATTAAAATGTTAATCACGAATTTTAAATTATGTTTGCCAACTTTCTTTGTTTTCCCGCAAAACAGGATAGTTTTTGGCAGTATTGATTTTCCTGATTGAATTTGCTATTCGCAAATCGGAAACTT